TAGTCCCAGCTACTTGGGAGGCTGAGGCAAGAGAATCGCCTAAGCCCAAGAGTTGGAGGTTACTGTGAGCTGTGACACCATGGCACTCTACTGGGGATGAGAAAGTCAGACTCTGTCTTTTAAAAAAAAGAGAGAGAAAAAGAGAAAGAAACTAGTTAAATTTCTTTTCCCTGTTCTTATCACAGAAATTTGGGCTCTGTTGGGTTGGAAATGGCAGTTCCATTAAACACCTTCATTTTGCCTATCCTTCAGTGATATCCACATTTCTCTCTGGTTCTATTCCTCTTTTTTAAGTTTTTAGGGTTTTTTTGTTTTTTGTTTTTGTTTTTAGGAGAGAGGGTCTTATTCGGTCACCCTAGGCTGGAGTGCAGTGGCACAATCATACCTCACTGTAGCCTCAGACTCCTAGGTTTAAGTACTCCTCTTGCCTCAGCCTCCTAAGTAGCTAGGGCTACAGATGTGCATCACCACCCCTAGCTAATTTTTAAAAATTTATTTCTCCCAGGCTGGTCTTAAACTCTTGGCCTCAACCAATCCTCCCCCTCAGCCTTCCAAAGTGCTGAGATTATAGGCATGAACCATTGCACCTAGCCCATGGTCCTTGTATTTGCTTCCTTTCCATAATGACTAAAGAGGTAGATTAGAATTCTGTGGCACAGGGCTGAGTGCAGTGGCTCACACCTGTAATCTGAGCATTTGATAGGCCAAGGCAGGTGGATTGCCTGAACTCATGGGTTTAAGACGAGCCTGAGCCAGAGAGAGACCTCATCTTGAAAATAGCTGGGCGTTGTGGTGGGCACCTGTAGTCCCAGCTACTTGGGAGGCTGAGGCAAGAGAATTGCTTGAGCCTGAGTTTGAGGTTGCTGTGAGCTATGACGCCAGGGCACTGTACTAAAGGCAACAAAGTGAGACTCTGTTTCAAAAAAAAAAAAAAAATTCTGTGGCATATAGTACAAAACTATTGTTAAAGGATCCAGGTTTCATATTTATTTGTGTTCAGAATTCCTATAATACTTCCTTTTTTTTATTTTGTATTTTTTTGGTAGAGACAGAGACTTATTTATCACTCTCAGTAGAATGCTGTGGCATCACACAGCTCACAGCAACCTCCAACTCCTGGGCTTAAGCAATTCTTTTGCCTCCGCCTCCCGAGTAGCTGGGACTATAGGTGCCTGCCACAATGCCAGTGTTGCTGTTATGGTCTCATGGAGAAGCAGTGTCATGGAGAATAAGGTGACCAGACATCCCGCTTTTTAACAATTTGTCCTGCATCCCGTGGCATTTTTAAAATGTCCCAATTTTTGGAAAGAATGCATGACAAGCTAGGGAATGGCAGGAGAACGAGAAGGAAATATACAGCTTTCTGTTGCCATGTGGCTATTTTGCCAGGATATGAGTTTTATATTATTTTTGTTAATTTTTTTTTTTTTGAGACAGAGCCTCACGGTGTCCCCCTGGG